AGATGCTGGCGCGACGGAAGTCGACCGCCAGATAAGGTAGGGCTGGAAGGCGTTCATGGCGAACAAGGCAGAATTGACTAACCAAAGTTTCTCACTGAAGTCGAGATTGCGCTTGTTCGAAGCAGTTGTAACACCCGCTGTCTTGCATGGAGCTTCCAGTTGGGTTTTGACAGCTGAAGTGGGGCACAAGTTACAAACGGCACAGCGTCGCACGCTGCGAATGCTGTTTGGCTCTGGGCGGCGACGGGAGACGCAGCGGGAAAATCAAGCACCGGGAGGCTGCGAAGCACCGGACGCGAGAGAGAGCGATGATGACAGTCATGTTGATGAAGTTCCTGTTGGCGGAGCCTTGGAGCCATGGGTAGAATGGATAAAGCGTGTTACTCATCATATTGAAGGGCATAACCGCATGCCGATGATAATAAAGGGACCCCCCCCCTTCAGTGTTTAGAGTTGATTATCGTCGCCCTATGCAAAAGTCAAATTGGGCGGCGAGCGCTGAGGCCGAACTTCATTATCACCCCGAACTTCATTATCACCTCGAACGTTACAAGCGAAAAACACAATTATTTCGAGGATGTCTCAAGCGAAATAAGCAATAGTTTGACTGTGTCTCAAGCGAAATAAGCAATAGTTTGCGGATGTCTCAAGCGAAACAAGGGATTTGTCGAGGATGTCTCCAGCGAGATAAGCCATTGTTGAGGATATTTCTATGAAAACTAAACGCCAAGGATGTCTGAAACGTGCTCGGCTTGGTCTCCTCTTGATCATCTCTTACTTCGAGATTATGCTGAGGTCTGCTGGGCTACTTTTATTCTCTCTCTCTGAACCCCGAACTTCCTTATCCCCTAGTGTTTATTCTCACGGGCATGAGGTTATGAACAAGCTGCACATCGATTGTTGGCGGGAGGCGGCGCGACGAAAGATCTGGAAAAATGCTGCCTGGGTAGCAAATATGCCCAGTGACAGATGGGCTGTGAAAGCAGTCAATAGGATTCCTGAACTTGACCCACGCGCCCGGGGGAGGCTGCCGGGGAGACCTCGAAAGCGCTGGGCTGACGATGTAGTCAATTTCTTGCGTGATGCCGGCTACGACGCCCCTGGCGGGGACTGGGTTTCACTTGCTTGCAATGTAGAGTTGTGGACGAACCTGCAGGGCGGCTTCATGCACGAGTCCATCTGAGGCACTGCGGTGCCATCCACCCACGCCCCGCGCAGGGCCGGGGGCTGCCCGACATTGGGCGTTCGTTCGTCGTTCGTTCGTTCGCCGAACACGGCAAGTATCGCTGCTGTCGTGCGCCCCTTCCCCGTCAGGAGGCTGTTGAGTTGCCCCTCCATATCTTGCAGCTTGGCCCCCCATCGTTGTCCCGAGCGAAGTTGCTGACCCGGAACGCGCAGGCATAGCTTTAAGCGTGGACGCATCCAGGGCTGATACTCTGGATGCGATGTCGTCCACTGCCGCCCGAAGAGGATCGACAGCATCTCGAAGATCTTGTCGAGAAACGCCGTGCTTCTTGATCGCGTCGATGTCTTTCAGGATTGGTTCGAGGTGTCGTTGGAGAATTGTTTCGAAAGTATCCATCGTCGTGCTTGCTGTTCCAGGTGCGTTCTGCGACATGCGCTTTGCGTACTGTTGCTGCAATTCGTGATGTTGCCTTCCTTCGTCAGCGTCTGCCGCTGGTGAGATAGTCATTGCTGCTCCGGGCGGGCTTCGGAACCAGGGGAACTTCTCAGCCTGTTTCAGTGCTGAATGCTTCGGTTCAGGAGATGCGGTACTGATTGTTTCCGGCGTGCTTGGCTGGGTGGGAAACAAACGTAAATTAGAAGAGCACAATGGGGAATATGTGAATGGAGCAATTAGAAGTTAAATGAGGATACAGTACGCGTGCTTTCCGCGGCGCACCTTGGGCCAGAATGTCGCCGCATAGCAGCCGCCTCGGTGTCTTCGCCGCAGACGTTCCAGCCCCGTGCGCCTGCGGGCGCTTTTGGGGGCCAGGGTCGCCAGAGTTGTCCCCGCCCCTCTTTTCGAGCTCGCTGCCGGCGCGCGTGCTGATGATATAGGTGTGCCCCGCTTTGCTCTTAACCTCGTGCCCCTCCTCGACGCCTGAGGCTGCCCTGTGTTTTGGCTTCCTCGCGCTCGTGATATGTCGGGCATGTCCCTCTACAGGAGGAGAATTCAAAATTAGTTTTAAAATAGTCAGGGGACGATTCTTTCAGCATTTGTTGGACAATTGTTGAACATGTTTGGGGTATTATTTTTCGTCGAAAATCCGCCTGTAGGGGGACATGCCCAACCTAACGCTCGTGGAGCCTAGTTGGGCCAATGCTGGTAATCCTGCCAATCTCCATTTGTCGCCGCGTCCCAGCTCGTTGTGCTCGACCTCCAGCAGAAGGGGCGTTGCTTGGTCCCTCTCTGGGCTCTCCGGGGAGGTGAGCAGAGAATTGAGCTTCGCCAAGCCGTTCGAACGTTGGCCCCCCCGAGTGGGGTGAGTTTGATGTTTTTTTGTTCTACCGTTACATCGAAGGTCTGCTCGACCCTGGCGCTACCCTGGCAGATCAATTTCGGGGCGGAGGTCAGAAGTGGTTGTCGAGATGCAGGCGTGTTGCCACCGCGAGAGCCCCTGCTGATGCTTGTATCCGCCTCCATCGCATGCTCATCCTTCCACGCCTGTCATATATTACCCACTTTGTCCCTGTCCTTGCGCAGCTACAGCACCGCGAACCCTTTGCGTCGCACGGGTTTTTCAGGCTCCCCCCTTCCTCTGTCGAGCGAGCCGAGCAGCGCCGCCCGCGCTGGGCAAGAGCCCCCTGGCTTCTGATGAGTGCGCGCGTGGCGCGCGCATGAAGGGCGGGAGGGTCGCACGTTCAGAGGCCTGGGGATATCTTGTGCTCGCCTTGAGCCGAGGGCTTTCGAATCGGCCTCCTTAGCGCCTTGGCGGCAGAGGAAAACCATCCCTCAGCACAGTCAACCCACAGTGAGGATGGGCCACCTTCCCAAGGGTACCCTTGCATCATTCCCTCTTCTTCCCATCCTTGGCCACTTCCGTTGGCCGCGCCCCGCTCGAAAAGCTTCGAAGTGGGCCTCCACGGGCCTTGCATCCGTACCGCGCATCCTTATGGTATGGGTTGACTGTATTTGCACCGCTTCGTTGTCCCATCTTCCGGCCCCCCCCCCCGCCTTCTCTTCGCTTCAGGGCCGGTTCCCCTCGCTAAATCATACCAGATCCGCATGGATTCGAGATTGCTCGCCCCGAGGCTTGAGGTGGCCATCGCTGCCCACAAGCCCATTCGGCTCCAGATCCGTTTCGTTTCTCTCGTTGCAAGCCCAGGCGCTGCCCGATAGGATGATGACGCGGCGTCCTGACATTCGGTTGCCTCCTCTGTCCGAGTTTGGACAACGCTGGAGGCGCTTCCGTTCTCTGCCTGCAAAGAAGCCGCGCCAAGGCTGGCTGGCCCCACGTCAGGACTCTTATGGGCGCGTGGATAACGAGCGGCCGCGTGAAGACATTCGCGCAGAGTCGCTGTCGTTTTGGATGTGACCAGCCCGGCCATGCCGACCATTCCAATGCTTGCGGTCCCCCCTGGATGGCGACCAAGCTCCAATCACCGTTCATACCCCACGGCTCGCTGGTTTGGCTCGGTCTGGGGAGTGGGTCTGACTAACTACACTGGTGTGCAGAACGGTCGTTTGAGGGTGCACCGTCGCTTCGTTTTCGCCTTTCAGATTTATAATAAATTTCGACCCCTTCTGGCTCCGCACGTGCGCGCCTCGCCAGCATTTGGGCGCAATGCTCGGATGACCGCACGTGTGGCGCTACATGTGAGCGAAACCATGCACCTCTCGTTCTGGATATGTGCGCTGTTCCTCCTCCTCCTCCTCCTCCTTGTCCTCCTCCTCCTGCGCCTCGTCCTCCCCCGCCGCCTCCTACTCGGTTGCCTGAGGCGTGCATGGTCATTCGATGAACAGCCGTCGAGCAACGACAAAAAGAAATGGACGATTCGCAAGCTGGTCCCACTCGAGGGCGAGGAAGGGGCAACGGGCGGGAGCAGAAGGCGCGGAAAAAGAAGGGAGGGACGAGAGGGGGAACGATTGGCCCAGCCTGAAATTCGTCCCAGACAGCGATCCCCGAAGGCGTTTCGATCTCTTCGAGCTCTTCCTGGGGACTTGCCAAGGAAGGGTGTGTTTGCCCCCTTGACTTCGAGGAAACAACCCTCCCACAAGATACGCAATCGATAACATGAGCATCCGAGTCCAAAACCCTGGCCCAGTAGACCTTCTGGTTACCTCCAGCACACAAAGAGAGCCAGTTATCCAGGGTAGGGTTGGATTCCTGGCAGGGCGGCGAAGTGGACAAACAGCACACTCGCAAACAACGAGGGCACCTGTGGACAGAACCTTACCTTTCAAGGATATGGAGACTCTCAGGCTTCGGGTCTATGGGAGCCTCAGAACGGGGGGGCTCTGGAGTTTGCCAAACTGAGTTTCGGGACTAGGCTTGCACGGTATGACCAAGCGCATACCTACCTACGCACAGTGATTGATATTCATTACCCGCATTATCGAGACGATCGAGATCAGCCGAAGAGAGATCATGTAGAAGGGCTCCTTACTTAGCCCAGCAATCAACAGCAGCGGATCTACCAACGGGATCTCTAGTGTCAGAATCCAAAGCTTGATCAAGAGATTGATGGGCCCTGGCCTTCCCACGATTCGACAGGTGATGTCCTTTTTAGAAAAACTGGAAATTGGAGGGCCCATCATCATGATACCCTTCCTCTGCCTGTTCCTACTCCTCCCCGCCTCTTCTCCCTCCTCCTCCGCCCGTTTCTTCTGCACGTTTTCCTCCAGGTCTTCCGCCCCGATCTCCGTCTCTTCCTCCCGCTCCCTGCGCATCTTCCTTATACTCCTCCTCCCCGTCATTATCCTCCTCGTCCTCGTCTTCCTCGCCCCTTCCACCTCATCAACAACATATCCATCCTTATCATCCGCCTCTCACAAGGTGATGCGGGAGTGCCGGGAGGTGATGGCTGACCCGAAGCACGGCTCGCGGATGCTGCTGAGCATGCTGGGTGTCGAGCTGTCGCCAGGCGCACTCCTTGACGCAGGAGGTCATTACCTATCGGACCATCCCCACCCAACCCGAATGCCCCAGACCCCCTCGAATTTCGGGTGTAGGGGGGTGTACGGGCTCCAGTGTTTCTTCCATGTACTGGAAGGCCCCTTCGCTGGACATTGACAGTCCCAACAACGGCTCCTGGTTGTGTAGGGCTGGTTTGGTAGGTAGTCAAGAGGGGGAGTACCCTTCCTTTTGCTCCGACCCCCTCCTTCCTCCTGTGTTATACTTCCTCCTGGTCTTGCTCCTTCCCCTCTTTCGGGAGGGCAGGATGAAGCCGGATGGAGCAGGAACAGGGGGACCATGCGGACCACGAGGAGGAGGAGGACGAGTGGAAGCACGAGCAAGAGGACAAACAGCAGGACGAGCAGAGGCAGGAGCCGGAGCGGGAAAGGTGTCTGGAGGGCACTGGTGGAGGCGCGGGGGAGCCCTTGAGAGGACAGAAGAGCGCCCGAAAGCTCTGACCCTGGATCCTCGATCAGCAGCGCCGGGCGAGGCTGGGACTTGGATACATCGCTCCAGAGTGTTCCAGAAGGCTCTCAGAGAACTGCGCAGCGCTCTGGAACGCCCGCGGCGCTCGGTCCTGGCTTCGTCTTACTGCAGGAGCGGGAGGGCGGCGTGGAGAGGCGCAGCAGCGGCATCAGGCGCCCGCGCCTGCGTGAAGCAGATCGACAATGGCCTCAAGCACTTCCTGGCCCAGCACCCAGATGAGTTCTCGGTGGACGGCGTCAAGGCCAAGGGGAAGTGGATAAGTCATCACCAAAACGACGACGCTTCTCATTCCTCCTCCTCCTTCTCCTCCTCCTTTTCCATCCTCATATTTTTTCCCTCCTCCTCCTCCTTTTCCCTCCTCCTAACTCTTCCCTCTCGCGCAAGCAGGCCAGGTCTTCCGCCTTTTTCACAGTGGGGCTCTCGCGTTAACGCCGCGCTCATTCGTTTAATGAGTTTGCCCCTGCCACAAAGATGGAGCGTCCCCGCCGACTGGGGAAGAGGGAGGAAGGAGATGAGGAGAGGGAGGAGGAGGATGAGGGAAGAAAGCACCGTGGAAATGAGGCCAGAGGGACGAAAGAAGGAGATATGGAGGAGATAGAGGAGGAGGAGGCGGGGAAGGATCGGGATCCCGCAAAGGATGTGTGTGTGTGCCCCGGATGGTGTGTGTGTGTGTTCGATCGGCTTTTGCACCGAACCACCCAAAACTGATGCCCCCCAGCCGCCGCCAACTCCCGATAGTTGCCGATCGGTGGGAATGCGGGGGGCATCTGTTTGCGGCAGTTGGATGCACCAGCGGATCGAACTCATGCCCCCCCTCAGGGTCACCCCCCTATGGTGGATTCAGGAGGACCATGAGTATGAGTATGTCCATGTGACAAGGTCAACGAGGAATTATTTAACAAACACTGGTGGATTACACCCGCTTGCGTTGCGAAGATTGCTCAGCCTTGCTCAGGATCTTTGGCCAGAGCCCCAGGGAGATGCGGCGCAAGTATGCAGCTCTGTCAGGGGGAATCCGTGGGAAACACTCGCATCCTGACAGGATCGGCTGCTGAGGATTGGAACAACCGCACCCTACGCAATTTTCAAATCTCCAGGATACTGCATCTTTGCGACTGGAATGGACGACCCCTCCAGCGATGTGCAACACCGCCTCAGGAGGCTTCTGAAATATCACGCCGTTGTATTTGAAAAGAGAGAAGCACGGGATCCTGCCAGCAAGGCCGTCCGCCTGGCAACGGCCTGTGTCGTCCACACAGTGCGTCGGTTGGAGAAGGGCTGGACGATGGCGGGGCTCGATGATGGTTTTCCCACTTCAGACTTACCTTCGGTTGCCACGGCGTCTAGAGTGGCGCGCAGGATGCACATGCGCACAAGTCTGGCGCGCCTCTCGCGCATCAGAACAGTGTGGCGGACTCCTTCGGGCAGCCTGGCCTCTGACCCGGCCAGGCCAGCCGTCTCTTCAACAACGGGGTTCCCCGCCACCATCCAGCGGGGAGCTCTGCCTACAGGAGAAGCCCATGGCAAGAAACACCCTGCTTGCCTCCAGGGTGCCTACAGCGTGACGGTCCCACACCAGAAATCAATGGACGTCCTGGGGTTCCAGGGTTGAGTTTCTTGTGGAAGGTTTCTTTTGCTGGAGCTCCGACTGTACAACAATGTCCTCCGCATTGAGATGCGATATGACAAAAACAGCACCGGCTGCTCCTGACCCTCGCCTCGCAAGGGACCTGCCCGACCTTGGCCCAGAGGTCGGCGTCCTCGCCGCGGGGATCCTTACACTTACGCGTGTATCAGCCTTGAACGACCGACTCACAGTCATAGACATGAAGAGTTTATCATCTCGACATCCACAGGGCGAGATTGAGAGCCTTCAACTCCCTTCTGGCAGCCACCTGGCGGCCTCCCACGAGTTGGCTCCTCACGGTGGCGGCCAGCTGGAGAGTGGTGGGCCCCATCTCGTGAAAGGAAACCATCAGGAGGGGGAAAAAAACACAGACACAATTAATCATCGATTCCCCAGAAAATATGGGAAAATATGGGAGGTGGGGGGGAAGACAGAAACCCTGAAAATATGAGAAAATATTGGGGATCCTTTTTATTTGTGTGTACTTCTTTGTGTGTCCCAGGGCCCCTTCAAACCAGCGCGACCCCCACACGCCTGAATAGAGGAAGGTGCGTGTCGGGGCCTCCGCTAGCATCATCGAATATGAAGCGAGGCGCGTGCGCGGGGCCTCCCGCGACGCACCCTTCGCACCCTTCGGTGATCGCGACTCCGCCGAGCTCCGCAGTGCTCGTCCAAAGGTCGTCGGCCTAAGGGGGGGGGCGCTGACGTCCAAGGAGCTGGCATGAGGCCCTTCAGCGAGAAGCCCTTGCCCATCTCCAAGTAAGCCAGCGCTTGAGGCACTAGCCCTTCAGATTCCCGATAGGCTTCGCTGCTTACATCATGATCGCACTTCCATGTGCGGTGTTCTGCGCATTCGGGCTCCTTGTCGCACCTGGGGCACAGCTCAAAGCCACAAAAACGCGAAATCTCCTTCATACGTCTGGCTCGTGGCCAGCTGCCCCCCCCCCCACACCACACTGGCGTCAACATGACCTTTGAAAGGTGGTGGCCACAGTGGGGGGCAGTGGCCAGCTGCCTGAGCAAAAGCTGGTAGGATGAGCAGTCGACGCCCTGCTCCAGCCCTGCGCCACACAAAAATGTTACATGGCGCCCTGCCAAAGCTGGAGCCACAGGGAGTCCTTAAGATACAAAAGAAATGCCGGATGGGAACCGAGCATTGCTATCCCTGAGCACATCTGACCTTCAAAGTTCCAATGGTCGCCTCTTGCAGGATGGCTCAATGGGGGATGGCCCACGAGGTCGCCTGCTGCAGCGTCCAACCAGCCTGCAGTGGACGGAGGACTGTCGCCGTCATGGGGCCACGCACGTGCGGAGCCCGCTGCCCTTCTGGTAATGGCACCACTCGATGCAGCACTCGATCCCTCGCCTGCCGCGCTCCCGATCTCAACTCGGGATGCTCGCGCCAAGTCCTCAAGGACACATTCGGCGTCTCCGTTGGCAGCTTGATGGCCAGGTCAAGATCCCCAGCACGAAGAGCCAGCAAGGTCGTCGAGCGCCGCCCTCGAAGGGGGGGCTTACACCGACATGCCGAGCCGCCGTCGCAGATCCTACATATTGCTCCCGAAGGTGCCGTGGACCTGGCGGCCGCAGATTGCCGCGGCTTGCGCGCCGTGCTTTTCCAGGGGCGCCCCGCCGTCCCGCCCGCCCGCCGGGTGCCGCGAGGGCAGGGGGCGCTGGCCGACGGCGCGCGCCCCCCTTGGCGCAGGAGGCGGCGGCGGTCCCACGGTGCACTCCGTGCCTCTCCCCTCCTGGCCACGCTCGGGCGCTGCGCGAGGGGGGGGGGGGGGGCGGGGCGCGAAGGGCGACGAGGCGAGGGGCGCAGGCGGGAGGAGGAGGAGGAGGAGGAGGAGGAGGAGGAGAAGGAGGAGGAGGAGGAGGAGGAAAAGGAGAAGGCGAAGCGCAGCATCCTGGAGTTCATGGCCTCGTGCACGCCGCCCTGCAACCTCGGTTGGACGTGGGAGCCGGCCCGTCGCACGCTGGCCGCCGCCGCCTTGGCGCCCTGGAAGTTCGAGCAGACGGCCGCCGACTGGGAAGCGACGTTGAGCTTCTCGGCCTTCGGCTCGATAACTTTTTGATCGCGAACGACGCAGGCAGCTGCGCGCCGTCAGAGTAGTCAAACGACAGGCCAGCCTCACGGGACAGGCGGAAAAGGGCCACAACGATGGCGAGAACTACGCGGCGGAGGGGAAACGAGCGAGAGCACACAGAGGGCGAGGCGACGAAGAGCAAGAGGGCGAAAGAAACGAGGGCGCACGGGAAAACGACTCGATACACGCGTAGACGACGCGTTCCGCCAACTGTTTCTTCATGGGTGTTCTCGGACCCTCTGCTGACTGCGGCAGGTCGTCAATCATTCTCGATGCTCCGTGCAAGGATGAGCCACTGCGATGGCTGCCAGCACGACATGGGTCATGGCCTTGCCGTAGCGGGTCCCTGACCAGAGGCCTTGGACCACACCCCGCGTACGTTGGGAAGCCTTGGAGGTGGCCCCAAGCTGCCCCAATGTTCAGGCTGCCACACATCGCAACATCTCAGGGCAGATATAGGCGGAAGTGGCAAGCGTTGCGCGCATGATGCAAGTGCGGACCGCTCAATCGAATCATACACCGGGCCTCACCTGTGGCAATTCCCAAGTGATGCGGAACCTCCTGCTGAATCGCCTTGAAGAGAGCCTCCTGGGGGCCGGAGTTGCCTCTGGCGGCAGCGCCCCAAGATTCTTCTGGGGTTGAGGCCCAGGTGTGGACCAAGGGTTCACGAGTAAAATTCCACAGGCGACCCACTATGGACACTAATCCGACGACGCGGTCACCATTACATGTATTCGGCAACATGCGTCCTACAATCAAAAGAACCTGTCCTGGCCAAGTCAGATGATGCTCACGCGCTTCAAACGACAATGCCAACTCCGCCAACGCCCCGTCGGCGAGACGCTCGAAGTCGACTGTGCTCAGCATGCCGATGCCTAGCCTTGCCACGGCACGCGTGTTGCGTTGAGCACCGCGAGTACCAGCAACAGTGATGTTAGGCATCGGCTCATCCTCCGCCACCTCACACATTCGACTAGACGTAAGAGTGACCTTTCGCGTGAGTGACCTTTGGTGCGGGCACAGATGGGCCCTCAGATGGCTGAAAACGAGGCGGTAGCAGCGGCTTGCGCCCAGGTTTGGTCTTCCCGCGGCCCCCAAAAAGCCGCGCACCAAAGGTCACTCTTACCCAGGGTCACTCTTCCGTGTAGCCGACACATCCCCCGAAAGGTACGGAACAGTTTCGTCTTCGTCCAACTCGGTTGGTGACCACAAGTCGTGCCAAGTCTGGGTCTCGTGGTCGATGATGTACGTCTCTGGGCTGGTACAACGCCTCCGCGCCCCGGTCCACGTCCAAGGCTGGCATGGTTCGGTGACTTGCGCGGCGAACCGATCGGCCCAGCCAAGCCCGTGAAACCTTTGAACTCCATGGGATGTCCTGAGCAGCTCCTCTCTGCGCCCTCCCCATGACACGCTCGGAGATCGCCTCGTAGCTGCTCGGGATTGACAGCGCGATGGCGCTGGCCGCTCTGGCCGCCTGTTTCCACTCGTCCCACGGCGGGTCCCGAACGTGCAGGAGCACCCCCGTCGTGCTCTGGTCTGTCCTCGAGGCAGCGCTGGCGCGCCGTGCCGTAGCGCCCCTGCTGCCAGGCCCAGTCGTCGTTGGACCGATGGAGCCGCGGCGTGCGCGTGAGGTTGTGCACCTGGGCCCGCCATCCGCCAGCCCCGTCACGCAATGGTCTGACCTTCGACCTTCTGCGGCGTCTCGACCGCGGTGGCGCTGAACCTGAGGCCCTCGGCTCGCCTCGGACCGCTCGACGGCGACGCGATGCGAAGGAGCGGTGGGTTCGACAGCAGACGCCTGGGAGGCGTAGAGACCTGAAATCACCTCAAGCTGGGTTGGCTCGGAGCGCAGGGCAGGAGGGCAGGAGCCGTGGGCTGAAGAACGGGGGCCCCAGGAGTGAAAGCTGCCTCGCATCCGCACCTGCTCCACACCCTGGGCGGCATATCAACCGCCGGCCCACCTCCAGGATTCCCCCCCATCCAGCCCAGGCCCCGCTGGGCCTCCAGCCCCGGGAGAATCCAGGACCTGCGGCCGAGGATGGCCAAGAGCAGGAGGAGGAGCGTTCGCGGGCTCCACCCCAGACCGCTCGACCACGTCGGGCGCGCCCACGAAGACTCCGCGAGACCAGTCGGGGGGCCCGGGCCAGGCCCGAGCAGGCGCGGGGGAGAGGGGGGGGGGGGAAGCCGCATCAGCGCTCAAGGTGTGCCCACGGGCCCCAGGGGTCTTCCTCCTCGGGCCGCTCATCCAACTTTGCAAGTGCAGCACCGCGCAGCCACAGCCTGAGACCTCGGGAGCCCGATCCCCGACTTCCTCGGACTCGAGGGGCGCACCGCGGGGCTGTTCTTTTTTTTCTCATTACAGTCGGCAAACAAGGTGTAACACTTGGCAGGAAGCTTCTCGGCTGCATTCTGGTGCTGAAGACTGCGCTGCACCACCCTGGCGCGACAGGCCTTTGACCCGACCTTCGCTTCTTTACCGAGGCTCGGGACTTGCGGGAGTTCCTTTGGGGGCCTCGAGGATCTCAGTGAAGAGTTGCTCACCCGATTTGCGAGGGGCAATCTCGAGTCCAATGCGTGGCTTCCAGGGCGCAGCCAAGACTGGGCGCGCGACAACGAAAAATTGCGCAGCAGGCTACACAGAACATAATCTATGACCGTGCCCGAGCCAATATTCGGAGTAGCAGCGCGTTTTGCCACGATCGACACAGTATGCAAGCGACGCACGAGCCCTGACCTTTCCAACCGACTGGGCGAGAGGGTGAAATCTTCAGCAGCCAGTCAGGGCAACTGAAGGGACCGCAAGATGCCTGCGCGGCGCTGGGACCTGCCTGGACTGGCCCCTGTGAGCCCAATATTGTTGTGCGCGCAAAAGCCGACAGCAATCATACAGGAGACCCATGCCAAGAAACGCTGTGCTTGCCTCCAGGGCGCCCTGGGATTATTGGGTTTCGATGTTTTTTTTTTCTACGGAAAGTGTGATTACCCCGCACCAAAATAGAGGGGCGTCTTGGGGTCTCAGGTGTGGGTTTCTTGAGGAAGGTGTCTTGTGGTCGGGCCCCCACTGCACTGCAGCTAGCAAGATGGATAACTGCGGCAAGAAACCCGTCTAGAAGCTGAAGGTGCTTGGGCGCCCGCATCTTAGCTGCCGCCAACTTGGCAGCTGGCAGACGACGAGTTTGCAAGTGCCCCCTGGATATGAGCCACTTCCCTCCTCGTTGGAATGCTCGAGCTTCTTCGACCTTAAATGCTCTCCGTCGAGCTTGGCCGATGGTTTCGCTGGATGGGTCAAAAGCCGAAGACCCTTCCCTCTGGCCTTCGCGCCGCACTGCCTTAAGGAATGATTCGGGAATGTGAGCCTGCACCACTCTGTAGAAATCGAAGGACTGTGCAGCGAGCCAGCTCCACGACTCCTCCGCAAAGCATGCAACGTCAGCATGGAGCAAGCGAGAACTGCAGTGCTTCCTTGAGGCCGACTCGGAGGTCGGCTCACTCGCTGCAGAGCCCAGTCACGACGACGCCGCCCCTGAGCCCGGCGCTGTGGGGGAGCGGGAGCCTCGGCGGAGCCCTTGCCCTTGCCGATAGTCTTGCCCCTCTGCGTCTGCGCTTATGCGACGAAGCGGGCCCGGACAGCCGCTTGGCCTCCTCGGCGATCTTCTTATCCTGCTCCTTCTCTGACAGGGGATGCGTCGAACCCTTATCCCAGGCTGTGGAGAGTTTTCGAATGGACGAGAGAAATTCGGGGCCTAGCCCTGGGACATACGATGGGGGGTGCCGCCGATCATCGATACGGGCGCGTGCGTTTCTGAGCCGCTTCAATCTGCGTCGAAGAGTCGGGGATTGTCAAGGCCTCCTGGATGGGGTCGGAGTAGATAGGGTCGGAGGATCGCGCCGCGTCACCGTTGCATCGACGATGCAGCTCGATGTGGAGCCCGTGTTTCGCCACGCCGACGTCGCCGATGCATCGCCGACGTCGCCGATGCATCGCCGACGTATCCCCAACACATCGGCGATGCATTGACGATGCGGCGCGATCCTTTGACCCCATCTATACTCCGACCCCATCTGGGAGGCCCCTGGGGATTTTGCGGGAGAAGAGCCGCTCGCGATCCTCGGCAGCGGTGGTCTCGGCCCCCGATGCGCGGGGCGGCTGCCGCTCCGCCAGCGCTGCTGCTGGGGCCGGTGCCCCTGCCGCGCCCTGTCCGGGTGCCAGCAAGCGGGCTCGGCTGCCGGGGCCACGCCCTCGGGCCGCGCCTCTTCTCGGCCATCCTCGTCTCGGTGTCGCCTCGGATCGGCTGCTGCTAGGAGTGCCCCTGGCCCAAAAGGTGCCCCCAGGATGTCGCCCTTCGGTTCGGAAGCTGGAGCGTGCAGCAACAGTGGCGGGTCGCTTCTCAGTCCCAGGACTTTTTGAAGGTCGGGGGCGACGTCAGGGTGGTGTGGTGTAAATTTGAGTCCTCGTTTTCCCAGGGAAGCCACGGAACATGTACACACCAGGATCCCGTATTTACCAGGATCCGTTTTCTTGTGCAAGTTTCAGTATAGGGCTGGAAAAAGCGTCGGTGCATGGAGCTCGGTTCCCTATTTGACCTTCTCCATCTGGGCGAGCCTACCCTCAAAGAACAAAACAATTGCATAAGCATAAACTTTCGGAGGCTCGCGCGGATCTCTTGGATCTGCGTTGGGGCCTCTTGGCTGCGCTTCCGGCGCCGCCCCTGGCGCGCTCCGCACGCCAGGGAGGGGGGTCCAGCGTGGGTCCAAGAAATCCGCGCGGAGCTCCGAAAGTTTACGTTTATGCCGTTTTTTACTCCTCTATTCTTGGCCATCGCCCTGCGGGGCCTCAAGGTAGGCCTCGATGTTGTGCGGCGCCTCCTTCCAGCTCTCCTCGCAGCCCATGCCCTCGATCTGGTCGAGGAAGGTACAATCCCACGAGGAGGAGGAGGAGGAGGAGGAGGAGGAGGAGGAGGAGGAGGAGGAGGAGGGGGAGGGGGAGGGGGAGGGGGAGGCGGAGGAATGTGGATTTGCCCTTGCCGCCCATGTTTGGCCCCTAATGCTCACCTGTGGGCTGCACCCCTTCAGTGGGAGCCAAGGCTGGTGCCGCCACCTTCCTCGAGGCCATGGCGATGGCGACCTCCTTGGCTGCCTTCGTCTCCTTCTCCTCGGCTGTCTGTATCTGGTGTCGTAGCCGTAGAACGCGTGCCACTTGCTGACCGTGTCGATGCTCAGCGTCCTTGCCTTCTGCAGCACGTCGTTGTGCACCTCGTCTATAGCCTCCTGGCCTTGGGCGGCGCCATCACTTCGACTGAGCGTAAATGGAATGCACAGCGTACAGTGACAAGGGACGCTCAGTTTAGTCCCTCATGTGCCACAAGGGAGGCACAGAGGAAGACCCCGCCAAAATGGTTCGGGCTCAAGCACTTGAGATGATGATGAGAAGGAGTAGGAGGAATAAGAGGAGGCGGAAGAGGAGGAGGAGGAGGAGGAGGAGGATAAGGAGGAGGATGGAGGAGGATGGTGGAGGATGGAGGAGGAGGAGGAGGAGGAGGAGCAGGAGGAGGAGGAGGAGGAGGAGGAGGAGGGGGAGGAGGAGGGGGAGGAGGCGGCCGAAGCCAGGGCGCCTCAGCCTTAACCGAGCTCTTCTCCACTGGCCGCTGCCATTGGGTCAGAGTGGCCGTGTCCACACGCCAAGCCCAGCCGCGCCACAACCCATCGTTGTCACAGCTGCGCCGCTTGTCCCTGCTTTGTCCCTCCCTTTTATCAGGATGTCATCTGAGAGTTCGGTATCCCAGTACAGATACCAGCCCCGTGACCTGTGGAGCGGTGCTCCAGGGGTCACTTGGCATTAACTTGATCACCCCCCCTCAGGGCCGACTGGCCCTGAGGGGGGGAGGCTACGTTCGGACGAGCCTTGCAGCCATCAGGTGTCAGATGTCAGGAGGAGGAGGAGGAGGAGGAGGAGGGATGGAAGGAGGCCCTGAGATCCGACGCTCTAAAAAGTTGCCACGTCGCCAAAAATTCACGATGGGACCCCCGGACCCCATGTTTTTGCGCCATTTTTCGAGCCGGATCGACCTGTGACGGTCCCCGGGTCGGAATGGAGCGAAGACGCCCGGCTCGAAAAAATTGAGTCGCCAGGATCTCAGGAAGGGGAGGCAGGAAGGGGAAGAGGCGAAGGACCTCCCCAAGGGGTGCGAGCACGTCACCTACCACCCCGCTGGCCGGCAGCCCGGCAACGCGGCGTCGCACCGCCGCGAGCCCCCGAGGGAGGCAGTGCCCTTGCAGTTGAGCCAGGCCCCAGGGTGGGGGAGAACCGGGGCTCCACCGACCTTCGAGAGAGGAGTTGGATGGGGGAGGAGGAGGGACGGGGAGGAGGGGGAGGAGGAGGAGGAGGAGGAGGTACCGATGCCGCCACCCTGCCTTCGTTTTCGACCGTTGGGGCCTCCTGGGAGGCCGTCGTCGTCACAGATGGATTCGCTTCGAAATCCTGGTCAGACCGCGCCCGGGAGAGGTGCGGGAAGTAGCGGTCTGCATCGGCACCTTCTGGCTTCCGAGGACAAAGAGGAGGAAGAGGATGAGGTGTTGGAGGAGAAAGGAGAGAATAGAGCAGGAGCAGGAGGAGGAAGAAGAGGAACGGCAGACTGATGATGATGATGATGATGATGATGATGATGATGATGATGATGAGGAGGAGGAGGAGGAGGAGGAGGAGGAGGAGGAGGAGGAGGAGGAGGAGTAGAAGGAGAAGGAGGAGGAGGAGGAGCAGAGGCACGAGGAGGCAGAGCAACACGAAGAGGCATTGCAGCAGCAGCCGCAGCAGCAGCAGCGGCAGGGGTCGGCCCGGGGAGGCGCTGGGACTGCTGTCGCCCACACCCGCTCCGCACGCGCCACTGGGCTGGGACGGCTGGGACGCGCTGCCGCCCTCGCCGCTGCGGGAGGCGCCGCCGCTACCTGGCGGCCCCCATGCTGTTTCTCCTCCTGGGTCCGATTCTCTTGATCCACTCCTCCTCCTCCTCCTCCTCCTCCTCCTCCTCCTCCTCCTCATCATCATCATCAACATCAACATCATCAGCAGCATCAGCATCAGCATCATCATCATAATCATCACCGTCACCATCACCATCACCATTACCATTACCACCATCACCATGACCATCACAATCACCATCACCATCACCACCATCATCATCGTCGCCGTCGTCGTCGTCATCAGCATCAGCATCAGCAGCAGCTTAAACATCATCATCATCATCATCATCATCATCATCATTTCCATTATCCTCCTCCTCATCATCATGATCATCATCATCATCGTCATCATCGTCATCATCATCATCATCAGTATTACCACTATCACCATCACCATCATCTTTATTATCATCGTCATCGTCGTCATCAGTGTCAGCATACGCATGCGCATACGCAGCATCATCATTCCCATCATCACCACCATCATCATTCTCATCGTAATCGCCATCATCATCACCACCATCACCATCATCATGATCATCGTAATCGCCATCGTCATTATCATCACCGTGAGCATCACCATCGTCATCATCATCACCCCCACCACCACCATCATTATCATCATCATCATCATCATCATCATCATTATCATCATCACCGTCGTCGTCGTCGTCATCATCGTCATCGTCATCGTCATCTTTCGTCGTCATCAGCATTAGCATAAACAACATCATCATCATAACCATCAGCATCAGCATCATCATCGCATTCGCGCTCGTCATCATCACCATTTTCATCCTCATCCCCAGCATCATCATCATCATCATCATCATCATCATCACCATCATCATCATCATCATCATCATCATAAGCATAATCATCGTCACTATCATCACCCCCACCTTCATAATCATCATCATCCTTATCATCATCATCCTTATCATCATCATCATCATCATCATCATCATCTTCGTCACCATAATCGTCGTCATCATCATCATGACCACCATCTTGATCATAATCATCGTCGTCACCATCATCATAGCCATCATCATTGTCATCGTCTTTGTCATCGTCGTCATCATAACCACCATCACCTTCACCACCATCACCACCATCATCATCAGCATCATCAGCATCATCATCGTCATCATTGTCATCATCATGCCCACCATCATTATCATCGTCACCATCAGCATCCTCATCATCATCTTCATCACCATCATCGTCGTCGTAATCATCATCATCATCATCATCATCGTCATCATCATCATCATCATCATCATTGTCATCATCATAATCAGTATCATCTTCGTCATCACCCTCATCTCCGTCATCATCATGGCCATCATCGGCATCGTCATTGGCATCGTCGTCGCCATCATCACCAGCAGCATCATCATCAGCATCATCGTCATCATTATCGTAATCCTCATCGTCAGCATCATCATCATCCTCATCCCAGTGGCGGCGTCAGCAGTCGCATCACCATCAGAGTATCTATAATCCTCCTCTTCCTCCTCCTCTTCCTCCTCATCATCATCACACCGCGCGCATGGTGCGGGACGTCCTTGGGGTCCACAGCCCAGCGCGTCTATGCAACGCACTCGCGACCACCTGCATCGCGGATGATTGCTACTACGCGGGCTTAGCTGGCGCGGCCTCATCGATCGTTCAGGCGTGGCCATGGCTGGAGTCGGTTACGGCAGCCGGCGGCCACACTGACCGAATCTAAGTTCTAAGTGTACTTGTTGGTTTACAGGTCTCGACACAGGCAGGGGCACGCCAGCTCGAAGCGATGACGCGGTGGTTGTGCGGTGGCATGCACGTATTTGGCACAGCGCTGATGGGCGACAACGCTTCGAGCACTAGCGCGGAACAGTGCGGCAGTGCGGCATCGGATCTGTGGAGGGTAGGATTACTAGGGCCGCTCGGCTGTGCGGGAGGCTCCGAGTGGTCGTGGGGTCTTGCAAGCACGACGACATGCGGCAGACCGCATTGGCGATGATAGTTTTTGCCATTCTCATCTCCTGGATTATGAAATGTGCATGTGCCCCTCGCGGGTGCTTAGTCCAGGTATTGGAGAATTTCTGCGCCAGAATCGCACAGCAGCCATCCTTGGCACGACGCTCACGGCGGTGATGACAAGCGCCGCGGCTCGGTTCTGGAGCAGCTGGGCTGCAAACGCAGTTGATGTTCAGCACGTTGCCCTGCAGGCGGGGTTGACGTATAATTACCAGGAGGGCCCGGACAGGCGGGCCTCTTCACCTTCGCGCGCGACGCGGAGAATGCGCAGGCCCAGGCCGTGGACACTGACCGCTCTGTCCTCGCTCTTTTGGCCCCCGTGGCCGACGCCAGAGACGTAGAGGGGGTGCGGGGCGGCCACCTGCTCGCAGGGAGTTTGGGCCGCCAGCAGGCGGCGCTGCGGGCCGCAGACGTCGCGGCCGCGATGCTTCTGGCGCGCGCCGCCAATCCAGGGCTCGTTTCGATTCCTCCGATTCGATTCGATCCGATTTCGATGGCCTCCGATTCAAATTAGATCCGACTTCGGATTCCGATTTGGACTCCGATTCCTCACATCGCCCCCGTGACTCATCCCTCAACCCCCCAACCCCCCGGCCGGATTTCTTTTCTTCTTTCCGCGGGGGGTCAACCTTCGCGGCGACCCGTTAAACCCGGGACCCCTGGCGGCGCATGGATTTCTTTCCTTCTTCCCCGCGCGCGTTGCCGTTGGAACCCCTGAACCCCTCCGACTACCGTACAACTCGTACTTGAGTACAACTGGTACTATCATGTCCTATCGCGCAGTTGTTCCTAGAGAGCACGTTGTCCTGCCGTGCAAATATTCGAGTGCAGCTGGTATCATATTACAGCTGGTAAAATTGTGCCCCCTAGAACAGCGCCCTATCGCCAATCCCCAGTACTAGTACAACTCCATGGTACAACTCCCGAGCACAACTCCCCCGTACAATTCCCCGGTTTAAGTGGTACTATAACAACTCTCTGATCCAATCTACTGGGTTCCCAATATATAAGCCCGAGCCCGAACCCAAACCTCACCGGCTGTAATTCAGTTGTTCCCGTACTAATACAAATCCCTAGTGCAACCGCGATTAAGGCGTTGTTGCATTGCACTTACAGTCTCGGCTCTCACGCTTTTCTTCCTCTGGTTGCGCTTGGGGGGGTGGGACCCCTCGCACGGGCACCCCCGCGGCTGGGAGTTCATTCCTCTTCCGGAATTTGAGGGGGGGGTAACCCCCGTGCTCGAACCCCATCGCCAGGTTTTTTTTCTTTCCTCCGCGGAAACCGGACCCCCTGGGTTCTTCGGCGCGCCCCATTTTTTTTTCTTTCCGGTTGGGCCTCCATGGGTCTTAGGTTGGAGTCACCCGGGTGATTTCCTCACCGGAGGCATACTAGCCTGCCGATTTCCGTCGATTCGACTTCTCCTGACTCGGCTGCCGATTGGAGCCGATCCAATTCATTTCGATCGCCGATCCGACTTATCGATTCGATTCTGGGCTTTCTTGCCAGTCTGCTAGACAGAGGCGGCAGAGCAGCCAGCCTCTGGTGGTCAGCGGCACCGGCGCCCTCGGCAGCGTGGATGGAGACCGTCGTTGGCCGCCTGCCGCGAGGAGGCGCTTGGGGGCACCCGTCTGGGAGCCTGGCCTTGCGTGTGCTCGTTACTAGTGTGGAGGCCCGAGGCGTGGGCAGCTGTGCAGGCGGCAGCTGGATATCGGCGGTCTTCACGCGGTCCGCTGCATGGTGGGCCATGTCCGTGTACGGTGGCACAACGGCTTCAAAAACTCGCAATCGCTGAGGCGTTGCGCAAGGCAAGCGCGGTCGCCGACGTCGAGTCGCACTCCCAGAGCTCTGCAGGACGGATTCCGACGGCGGCATGATGGAGGCGATCTCAGACGTCTGCTGGAGGTGGCAGGCCGATGTGGAGTGGACGTGGCTGGATGTCATGGTGTGCTCTTATCCGGACGGTGGCGCTTGCGCGGCAGCCGCGGACGTGCATCTGGCGGCTCGGTGCAGCGCCCTGGGCCGCCGGATGATTTCGGTGCACCGGCAGCCCGCGCGCGGGCTGCGTTCCCCCCCCCTCCCCCCCTCCCTCCCTCCCCTCTCCTCGGCCGCCCCTCTCTGCCGCTGGGCTTCTTCGCTGGGTAAAGAGTGCATCTGGCGGCTCGCGCCGCGGAGCGTTCCAAGCGCCACCAGTGCGGCGATCGCGTCGCGGCGTTTGCAGCTGGCATCGGCGGCCGGCTGGGACAGGACGCCTTGGCCATCCTTCGCCAGATCGACGTTGTCGCGGCACGCCTGGCAGACGCGGGGCCTCCCAGCGCCGCCCCCGAGCCGGGCGATGCTGGCGGCCAGCAGCGCTGCCACAGTCGCCTCGGAGGCGGAGGCCGTCCTCGGCGCCACCGCGCCGCTGGCGCCAGAGGAAGAGGAGGAACGAGAGTGTCCCGGAGGACCTTCACTAAATTCAGGGCGTCGTGCCGCACTTGACCGTAGAGTGGAGCCAGTGATCAGCCCCCATCATCCTCATCATCACCATCACCATCACCGTCATCATCGCCACCATCATCAATCATCATCACCACCCCTCTGCTCCTCCTCCTCCTCTTCCTCCTCCTCCTCCTCCTCCTCCTCTTCCTCCTCCTCCTCCTCCCCTTTTTCCCCGTCCTCCTGTCCTCCTCCTCCTCCTCCTCCTCCTTCTCCTTCTCCTCCTCCTCCCGTAGCCCTTTTGGCTCAAGGTTTTGGTTTCCCAGCGGAAACCAGTGGATACCGCTAGTCCGCGGCTAGACCCCAGTATCTTTCATCGCACCGCTGCGTGAGCCGCCAGGCGACGCAGCATCCTGTGAGGCTCCTCGGAGCAAGACGACGAACCCGCCTGGTCAGCCCCAGGATCGGGAACAGACGCTCCAGCAGCAGCCATGGCGCCCAGGAGCTGGTGGCGCGACGCGGCGCCCTG